TCAGGATAAACACCAGGTTAGAAGCTTCCTCGGGCTGTGTGCTTACTACAGGAAATTTGTTAAGGGATTTGCTAATATTGCAAAACCACTAACCAAGTTGACCGAAGACAAGAGGACCTTTGTTTGGGATAACGACTGCGATAAAGCTTTTGAAGAGCTGAAGACTAAATTATGCAGCGCACCCATATTGAGCTACCCACGATCCGACGGAAAGTTCATATTAGACACGGACGCTAGCAATACAGCCATTGGAGGAGTTCTTTCTCAGCTCCAGGATGGAGAAGAACATGTGATCGGATACTTTAGTAAGGTCCTGTCAGCACCTGAGCGTAATTACTGTGTCACCAGGAGGGAGCTTCTCGCAGTGGTTAAGTCCATAGAACACTTCCATAAGTACCTGTATGGAAGAAGGTTTCTCCTGAGAACCGACCATGCCGCACTGATGTGGTTGCTGAGATTCAAGTCTCCTGAAGGACAGGTTGCAAGATGGTTAGAAAGATTACAGGAGTATGACTTCGAATCAATCCATCGTGCGGGGCCAAGCCACAGGAACGCAGATGCACTATCCAGAAGACCATGCGGGGACAGCTGCGCGCACTGCACACGCAAGGAAGACAAAAGTGCATCGGTTCATCGTGTGACCGCCGTTGACGACGAATGGGATAGTAAGAGAATGTCAGAGGACCAGAAGGAAGACGCCGACCTAAGACACGTTATGCAATGGAAGATGGACAATAAAGGAAGACCATCGTGGCAGGATATTGCTCCATTGTCTAAGAATGTGAAGACCTACTGGGCGCAGTGGAACTCGATTTTAATGGAAGAAGGAGTTTTGAAGCGAGTCGTCGAATCGGAGGAAGGAGGGCACCGCAAACTCCAACTAATAATTCCAAAGAAGAGGGTTCCCGAAGTGCTAAGAGAAGTACACGATGGAATTTCTGGAGGCCATCTAGGGGTACATCGTACACTTGCTAAAGTAAGGGAGCGCTTCTACTGGGCTAATCAGAAAGACGACGTAATAGATTGGTGCAGAAGGTGTGTGACCTGCGCAGCTTCAAATGGCCCTGTCAACAAACGAAAAGCCCCAATGAGGAAATACAACGTAGGTGCCCCGTTTGAGCGCATCGCCATTGACGTAGCAGGACCGTTCCCCATGTCAGATACTGGAAATAGATTTATTTTGGTTGCAATGGATTACTTCAGCAAATGGGTAGAGGCCTATGCACTGCCTAACCAGGAAGCGGTAACAGTTGCGGATATATTAATCAAAGAATTGGTTAGCCGATTTGGCGTCCCGCTCGAACTTCATTCTGACCAAGGAAGAAATTTTGAGTCAGCGGTATTCTCTAGAATGTGTGAAGTTCTTGGTATCCGGAAGACTCGAACAACACCTCTTCATCCACAGTCAGATGGCATGGTAGAACGCATGAACAGGACGATGGGAAGGTATCTGTCAAAGGTTGTCTCCGAACATCAGCGGGACTGGGACCAATACCTGCACCTGTTCCTACTTGCTTATAGGAGTTCTGTCAACGAAACCACCGGCCAGACTCCAGCCAACGTAGTTTTCGGGCGTGAGCTACGTCTTCCATGCGATCTGCAGTTTGGATTGAAGCCGGATGAATGTGTGGTTGGCGAGGACTACGTATCGGATCTGCGGAAGAGGATGGACGAGATACACGAGTAGGTTCGTCGCAACATATCTGGAGCAAGTGACAGGATGAAGGAGAGGTACGACGTGAAGGCCGAGAAAGGAGGGTTCACACCTGGTGATCTCGTGTGGCTACATAATCCCCGAAGGCGTCGTGGTTATTCACCCAAACTCCAGAACTCATGGGAGGGACCCTATGAAGTTATTTCCCGTTTAAATGACGTCATCTACAGGATTAAGAAACAACCAAATGGCAAACCAAAAATAGTTCATTATAACAGGCTTGCACCCTACAAAGGAGATCACGGCCAACAAGTTCGGAACCTCTCAACCAAGCAAAGAGACGTCGTGCCTGAGAGACATGGAAATGAGGGACTGAGGTTGTTGTACAAGGACCTCTTCACCTTGCCAGTGGAATATGCCTTGGCACACTGTGTAGCAGAAGACCTGAGAGCGTCGCGAGGTATAGCCACAGTCTTCAGGAAAAAGTTTGGAGGGACCGAAGATCTTGAGCGTCGGAGCCCCGCCATTGGCACAACCCTTCACCTGGAGCGCAATGGACAGCATTTGTTCCACCTCGTAACCAAGGAGACGTCAAGCCAGAAGCCCTCCTACGAATCGTTGAAGAAAAGCCTGCAAGACCTGCGAGACAAGCTCCTTCGGATCGGAATAAAAAAGCTTGCTATTCCCAGGCTGGGATGTGGTTATGACGGACTGGAATGGAGGATTGTAAGAAATATGGTGCAGGAACTTTTTGAGGACACTGGCATCGACATTGTGGTCTGCGTATACAACCCATGGGGAACCGGAGACATTATAGGTCCAGAAGATCCTAAACTTCGAGAGAAATCTGTTCTGGGTCAGAACAGTCTTAAGGAGGGGGCAGTGTTACAAGTCAGGAGCCCCGCGCAACAATAGCCAGGCGCCGTCACAAAAGGGTTGTTTGTTTACACGGGTTTCTCAGAACGCACCACTGATAGACAATAGACCTATGTCAACGGACTACCTCAATAGGGGCCCTAGAACCTTCTACTTCTACGCCGGTTTGTAAACAACGGATGCTCGAACTCTCCACTCTAGAATGTTCCACGACAAACTTATATAAGGGACCGTCTTCCAGCACACGGCAGTTGAGTTGAGTTGAGCCTTCCGAGAATCGTCGCAGCAGTGCCCGTCGGTGTTAGTGACCAGTGCTAGTGCTAGTGGCAGTGACAGTGTAGTGACAGTGAGAGTAACAGTGTAGTGACTCTAGTGACAGTGTAGTGACAGTGTTGTAACAGAAGTGATAAATCCTGTAGAGGCCAGCTGTAAGTAGAAACATTGTAAATTAGAATAGGCTTTAGCTAGGTTTAGATAGGGTTAGTTAGGTGTTAGGTAATTCTAATATCTGTAAATATAGAATAATTAGTGTAAATAAATAGTTATTATAAAATCGCCAAGTTTTATTTGTAAAGAACCTGCTAAGCCCGCAACATTAGTAAGAAGTAAGATTTCAGTAAAGAATTGACGCACAGTATATTGTTGTAAGATATTTTGCAACAAATTGGGATAGTACAGTTTTATTACAACATCGTATCTACTATACAAGGATTCAGGGATTGTAATTTCTTGCACGAGTTCACAACATTTTCATCGACAAATAGTATGATGCACTTTGTTGTTCTCAGATAAAGTATGGACTTCATCATGTCCGAAAAATCGGCGTTTGCAATGGCCCTTCCAAGCTTTTGTGTGAAGATCATGATAATCCAAGCCTCTTTCGGTTTCTTCATAAGCTCAAATCGTTTAATAATTGCATTCCAGTACTGTTTGTTCTGTCTCTCTATTTTACCAATGAATACACAGACCACTATAATACAGACTAAAACTTAACTGCACGTGTCATTTTTTTCTCAGGATTGTTCCAACTCATGGTTGCGTTGACTGAGATCCATAAGAAGTAACCCCTCTGATTTATTTTCAGACATTTGCCATCTGGCTTAGCAAGGTTTTTCTTGCTGTTAACAGAGTCCTTGCAGGCTCTGCCTTCAAAAACTAGTATTCGAGCGATATATATCGCGCGTTTTAGTTACGTCTAACATGATCGGGCCGATTGTAAAAGGATCAGGCGAAGAGTTCACGCGATATTGTCTCATAATTCTGTAGTTGATGTGCGGGTTTCTGATGTATGACCATGGTTGATGTTTCTATTCACAGGCCACAATTTTATTGGCACCTTTCATGTCCATTATTCTGAAGTCTACAATCATAATACAATTATTTGAAGAGGTGCGACTCCAGCCGCAGAAGTCTCAAAATTATCAGTGCTGTCAAACGGATGAACACATCTTGTGGGTGTGCATATGAAACGTCCCTCGCTTTCTCGCTATTTCACAAAAACTAAAAATACATTGTTAACAAAGGTTTAGTTCTTTTAAACCGACATTTCCTTGGAAAATTAGCCATTCACAATCTGATCCAAATTATTTAAACGCAGTTTACCAAGTTCGCTTCTAAAAACAACTCCGCGTCAGGCCCTTACTTGTGGATTTAGACGGCATCTGACGTGAACGGCATTAAGACGTGGTTCTGCGTTCTCAACGGGAAGAAGGAATCGGCATAAACAAAGCTCTGGCCTCTCTGACCAGACCTTAAAATCTCTTCCCAAAGATTTTACGTAATATATTGGCTTAGTCTGTCTCTGGTATCGTGCCTTCACGTCGGTATCGGCAACCACTTCGTTCTTGGTCTTTTCATGTGCATTTAGTGCAATCTATATCCACACCTTCCCCGAGGGAAGGATATTACACTTTAGTCACTTATTCTTTGATGCCATGAAATCCATCTGTAGCCCTGATGAAATCCAGTAAAGCAGTGTACAGTATAATTCAAATTGCGTCTTGTTGAGTTTTCCTCGGGAATCATACAGCTTCTTTTACAACCGCCATTGTGCTTAGTTTGTTTATGTCGGGCCTTTACGATAGTCTGTATGATGGAACCTGTCTCTTGATCCTCCGTCTGCTTGGGTACAATGTATTAGGCCCCGACCAGTTACAGTTAGACGAAGGGTCAGGAGATAGGCTCCATCATGCAGACTGTAGGGCTCCCAGTTTCGACGTCCAGGATTTCTCCACCGTATCAAACTAGGTCAACAATATCCATCCTGATAGAACCTAGGCAGATTAGACAAACTTACTGTAAAGTTTGATTGACGGCTGTAACATTACTACTGAATTTCTTTTGGTTCCAAACCTACTGTCCTCACTCCTACTTTTATAGACCCATTCGTACAGATTCCAGCATCCAGTGATCCTCTCGTCCACTTGTACAATTTCTTCTCTCTGTGATCATTATTATTGTTATGTTACAGACTGGAGACTGTAGAACTGCTAGTCAGGACACACCCTGAGTTGCTACAACCCTACCTCAGCAACCAAGGCTCTAGTCCGCCCTTCACCTTCCCTCACACACCACTTCACCTCGCCTCCAGAAATGGCCACAAGTAAGTCTATCAACCTTTACTTTGTCTTCTGAATGTGTTTGGTATTTACTCTGAATTTTGTGATACACTAATTGGTGCGACTTCTTGCACGAGGGTTAGTAAATTATGGTTGTTTTCAGTTTTACACGTCAAGATTACGTTTGGGTTTGTTTCTGTACAGTATTAGGGTGCCATCTTCAGAAATAAAATCAGGTTTTCTCCTAGCTCATAGCCAGAGTATCGCCAAAGTGAATATATGAGGTTGAAAAAGGTGCAGTGCAGTGCAATTCGGTTGGGTTTCCGTTCGAGTTGGCATGGACACATTTAGAGAAAGACAGAATTTACTTCCCATGGATGCTAGTATAGAGTGCGCATCTGGTCTGCCCACAAAGCATTTCTACTAAGTCTCAGTACGTACCTCTGTGACAAATTATTTCTACAACCGAATGTATATTTGAGAAGTACTCAAGAAAAACGAAATTCTTATTTTCTACATAAGGTTTAAAAAAGGAAGAGGCTCCACAAATTTCGGATCGGGGATGTTCAACTTACTGCCTCAAAAGTTTCAAAGAGTTTTTCTTGAATTCATATAAATGTATAAGTTACAAGCCACATTGTACTGTATTCTGTTAGTTATTTTTAAGATTATTATTGTTACGTTACATTTGTTGACTATTTATAAGTATCATGTAACCTAGGTTCATTCTGAAAAGCAGTTGTAAATTGAGAACGGCTTGGTAATGCAGGTCTTTTTATTTTCCATTTATTTAGACGGAAATGTTTTGGAATTTTCTGTTGGCATTTTTTACACTTGAAAGTTTATAACGAATATTTACTCTGTGGAGTGCCGATTCTTGATTTAGGAACAGCAATAATAATTGTGAAATAACCTTTGCTTTGACCCGTCGGCGCGTCTGTTGCTGCGTTTCGCTCTGATTAGTTTAAAATACAATCATTGCAGGACTATTGCCATCAAAGATATCGTCTGGACTATTTCGTATATGACTTTTAAAGATCAACCTTTAACCTCACATTGGAGTTAAGACAACATTTTGATATGTCTGAAAACGAATGAGATTATCTAAAAAAAAACATTTGTTTCAATTCTCGGTATTTTAAATTACGCCAAACCAACCACCGTTTGAAAACGTATCAGTAAAAAAAATTTGTTTTCTATTTAAATTGTTCAAATCATTGTATTCTTTGGGTATAAACCTGACGATTTAGATGTCCAGTAGCTTGAAAATGGTGTTTTTAATTCATAGAAAGAGACCTGAACTCATTGTAACTTAGTTACGCCTAATTTGTTCAAGGTTTTTGTTAACTTCATAAGTCCGCGTTAATATCCAACCCACAACCCGAATATTACGTTAAGTACATCAACAAGTGACCCGACAAACACATTACGGGCGTTCCTCATTGATACAAAGTCGCTCTAATGCGAGATCGGTGCCCAATCAATCAGTGAACGATTACTGATTACTGATTACTGATTAGCAGTAATGGTCATAATGACGTAGCTAACATTATGATAAGTAGCTTTTAGACAAAGTGTTGGGCTGATTGATTAATTAATACAAATTGAATACCGACCACGCTACTGAGCTAATAGTTATAATTGTTGCACGGATCATCGTATACAGCATGAATAGTTCTCTAAATGGAAGCTTATTGAGATATAATTTCGTCATCACTACTAATCGTCGGCACTGGACTTTGCTTTGCTCTGCTTCTCACAGCCGTGAAACTCCATTTCGGCTAAGCCGTAGCTTCTATGGACCTGTATAACGAACTTTATACGTGGCTCTTTTGAACAAAAGTAAAAATAAAACTGTTAGGTCTTAAAGAATGGTTTCGTTTTTAGCTCAAGATTTTATGCTGTTCCATTGTTCGATTTCGAATAAGTTGACTTAGCTTATATTTCGTTGGTACACGCACGTAAACTTATTGAGAAACTATTGAGAAACTTTTATTGAATTTCTAAGCTATATCAGACCTTTGGTATTTTTGTAAAAAATTCCGGCTACTTTTATGATAAAATTTTACTATGTGTTTTTTTTACATGGGGTGGGCAACGAATTTATAGGACTAATGCAGAAAACAAAACATTTAGAACATAACTGATTGACTCATAAACCTTTTGAATTTGAATTGTTACACTCAAATAGTTTTAATTTTAATCCGTAATTCGATTTCTTAGAAGACTAGCTCAAGTTCATGTTTTGTTGACACACTCGCTAGAAGACATCTTGGGAAACTAGTACAATTGACTTTATATACCTTATATATACTTTTGTAAAATCTAAAGTCTGGTTACATTTTCATTAAACGTTTCAACATAAGTTCTCTAACGTAGAGTGCCTCTACGAATCTTTTAGAGTCATAACGCCCGGGGAGCTGCTTTAAGGGGGTGGATGAACTATTATAATTACTTAACTTATATTAGTTCATCAATGGCAGGGGTTTCTCCAGCCAAAATGAGAACGGAGATTATTTCTCATGTAGTTTACCATACCACCGTCGGCATAGAAAACTTTATTGTGCGTGTTTGTGTTAAAACAAAATTTGGTCGACCTATGTAATAATCACACATAGAAAAATGAGTTTGATCCGCCATATAATAAACAACAACGGTAAAAGTGAGAGCATTGTTGAAGAAAACTTTTTCAACGTGAATTTTTCAACGCCGATTTTGGTTGGTAAATCAAATGATCACTGATTGGTAAACCATTCACAACAGCAACAACATCAATAGCAACAACAACAGGTGTTGTGGCGAGGTTGTGGTCAGTGTATAAACTGTCAGTTTACTTTGTGACGGTATCTTTGATACATTACATTACACTGACACAACTAATGCTGCCGCTGTCGTCTGTTGACTTGTGTGGTCACATTGTCACTTTAATTGTTATACAAATTGCTGAAAATCGATTTTTTCATAGCAATTTTGTCCACTGGTGTATTTTTTAGAAAATTCTCGCATTTATTTCAGTATTGTCTAATACTAGAAGCAGGTTAACTGTTAGTTCGTGAAAATAACAATTTGTTGTCTGTTTAAACTTTTGCAACTTTTCAGTTGCAGATAAATATTAGCCTACTAAAGATACACTCTCTTATTGTTTTAATAGGTAAAAATGAATGTACAACATGACATAATCTCATTAATATTATACTAGATTTGTAATCAAGCAATTTGAGCCTAATCATCGTTTTTAAGAGCGGGCATCATCTAAAAATACACGTCAGGTCAACGTCAGGTTTCTTAATTTACATGGTTGAATGTTAAACGCCACTGATACGTTTATCCTGTGCAACATTAACCTTAAAACTTAAAAATAATTGCATATTTTACTTACCTTGCCGTATTGTCTTTTGCTGTTGCGGTGCCATCTTTCACTACAGTACTACAAATTCAGCACGTCGTTCAGATCTATTCCACAATGAAAAGATGTTTTGTGAGTGTTTCTTGCGTCTCTCGCCACACTTTAGTTGTTTTTGTTACCATGGATATTACCAATTACCTTGTTGAAAATTATTTTATGAGTTTAAGGTTTTTTATATCCATGGAAACAGCTTTCGTCGTATTCGTACTGAATGATGTAGGTCTATTTGGTTTGTATTGTATACGCATGGCTCAATCACGTCCTGGTTGAAGTTCGTTCGCTACGCTCACTGACATTTTGGTTTCAAATTAGCTGTTGTCATAAATTAAAAAAAATAATAGTGCTGCACCCTGTTGGTAACCCTAGTAACTTTAATGCTGTTGAACATCATAGAACAGAACCAACTTGATACTTACTTACTTGATACTTGATAATGTCCCACTGGAAGCGTATCTACGCCGTGGTCGTCAATGTATTATATTTACTCTTCATTACTCTTATTTTGTTACTCTTCCAGGAATTCTTTTGCATTATATATTTTCTTCTCTACCAGGTACATTTTTAATTTTTTCTTGGCCATTTTGATTTTCATTTTTTAAATTTTGAGGCAAACTATTGTATATTTTTATGCACATGTGATAGGGATTTTTTTTAACCAATGCTGTTCTCACTTGTTGTACATGTAGATCTTGGGCTCATCTGGTGTTATAGTTGTGAATACTATTGTTGTTGGTGAAATATTCTGGTTTGGCTTTAGCGGTAACGGCACATTCCAGAATATAAACTGTTTGGTAGAGAGTTAAAATGCCAAGTTCCTTGAAGGTATCTCGACAGAGATACCTTCAATTAACTTGTTTAATTGAAACAGCTGTTAAGATTCATTAATTCCTTTTAAATATGAACAATCATAAGGTTAACATGGGAAACTCCAGAGCCACTGGGGCGGAGCCCGAAAGCCCGATCAGAATAAAAACTTCTTAGTTTTCCTATTTAATGCCCAAAGAATCGGTGTACCGAATTTCAGCCTCCTAGGTAAATGGGAAGTGGGAGAATTAGTGATGAGTGAGTGAGTGAGTGAGTGAGTGAGTCAGTGAGGGCTTTGCCTTTTATATATTTAGAAGATCATGGGTGTGGTGATACAATGACGATTCGTATACTTATCTCTTTAACAAACTATGATAACAGCAAAACTAAAATATTTAGTTTAGTCGTTGATAGGAAAGTTAAAGATACCTAACTAAAAATTGTAAACAGCATTTGTCACAAGTCAATCAATTTGTCTATCATAGAACCACAAATACTCATGTTTTTCCACAACTTGTAGTCCACTGCAGCAAAAATACAACTGTAATATCTTAGATTGTTAATTCAAGCTACGATCGTTAAGGTTATTTATGCGACATTCACGCACACATTGTTGATGAACGCGCAATCCTATTTTGGCTACGATACTTTGACATTATTGCAATATGTTCAGCTTATATTCATACTTAACGTTATTATTCTATTTTAATACTGCACAAATAAGTTGTTGTTTTTATTCGCAAGTAATATTTTTATTGTTTAATCCCTTTGTTGAATCAAAGGCGCAGGTGGTAAGTGAATAAGTGAAAATGTGGGGAGATGCCTCACCTGCCA